CCTAATTTCTGTGCAATTAAATGGTCCAAGCATTTCCCATCTGGTGATGGGGATTTCCATACACCATGTACTTTCTGGTACAGGCAAAGGAGTTCAGTGGAGTTCATTGTCTACTCTGCACTTTACTCACAGGGATTCAATTCTGGAATTTAAGAATGTGACAAATTCCCACTGAAAGGACAAGGGAATGTTGCTGTCCCTCCCCAGCTCTGCAGCCCTACCTGGTGTCCCTTCCCATCAGCTGGGAATGCAGGGCTGGCTCTGCCGGACAGAAGGGGAAGGATGCTGCGTGTGATCCCAGCCCCTCTCCTACCATCCAGAGGCACCAGATGTGCAGGGATTTGGGAAATCACTGCCACTCCGTGCTGGGTGTGTCCCTAGGGATTAAGGTGTCCCATGCTTTGCAGGCAAGAGGTCCCTGAAAACACCATGAAACTCATCTGCTGAGCCAGAGGAGATGGAGTTCATTCCCTGGGGCCGAGGCCATGAGGGTCATTCCATGGGGAATAGAGCTGGGGAACAGCACTGAGCCCAGCTGCACTGCTTGGAGCCTTGTGGATACAGGAGGGAGGAGGAAATCCATGTTCCAATGTGCTCCCTGCAGAGCATCCCACAACAATCACCCAAGGCAATGCCCGTGCTCCCTTCTCCTGCAGGAATACACCACTATGGAGAGGGTGATCCCATGGATGTTTATTAATCATGAATTCCTGAATAATATCAAGGAAAACCCTCAGCCTCTGTGCTGAGGTCCTCCAGCAGAGCAGTGGAAGGGATCAGCAGGCTCAGACTGCTGTGTTCCTGGTGTCATCATTGCTGTGGGCTGTTTTTTCTTTCTGCTACTCAAAGACCCTCTGAAGGTAGAGACGGAGGGACCCCACTGTACAGAGCCTCCAGCAGCTCGCCATGGAGCAGACCCTCCAGGAGCTCCCTGCCAAGAAGTAGATGAAGGGTTTGATGCTGCTGTTGATGCTGGCGAGCAAGAAAACAGCCTGGGAGGGCACATCGATGTAACCGAGCTGCTGCAGGAAATTGCAGAAGCTGAGGAGAAGAGTTAACAGCACAGTGATGTGGATAACCACGTCACGCCTCTTGGGCTGCTGCTGCTGGGAGCCCCACTTGGCCCTAATGAAGTCAATTGTGCCAGAAATGGCCACGGGTGCAGCAAAGAAGAGCAGGATACTGGTGTAAAGGGAGATGAGAGGCACACGGCAGTGCTCCTGCTCTTGTGATTGACACAGGAATATCACCGAGGGAATGACAGTGAAGAGAGCAAAGAAGGCCCAGGACTGAACACTCCCCACCACCAACCACATTCGCTCAGAAAGCTCCTTGCGGCAGCGCCGTAGGATCTTGTCCATATACTGCACAGTGCCACCAGGCCTCAGCCAGAACAGCCCCCAGTAGTAGGAGACCACTGACAGCTGGAAAAGGAAACGCAGGTACAGCATGGGCATGACAGGAGAGCAGGACACGTCCTCCACCAGGAAGAGGAAGGCAATGGGGACTGTGAGGAGAAGGAAGAGGAAGTCAGCGACAGCCAGCTTAAAGATGCCAGAGTTATAGCTTTTCAGGTTGAGGAGCCAGAGGACAGCCCCGTTCCCAGCCAGCCCACAGAGGCAGATGAGCAGAGTCACACTGTGTGTGGCCATGGTGGATACATCTGTCTCACACAGATGGTCCCCTTCAGTGGGTGAGAGAGGACGTGGGGACACGGTGGTCACCTCCATGGATGGATGCTGGGCAGGCAGTGGGATGTGGCCCCTGGCTGTGGTCAGCGTGGATGGGCAGTCAGTGCTTGGAGAATCCAGGGATGCAGCTCCTCAGCAGCTCCCTGCAGAGGGAAGGAAACAATGGGGAGGAGTGAGATGTGCAGGGAAGGAGGGCAGTAGAGATTCAGGGGTGGGAGAAAGAGGTGGGAGGGTTGGGCTCTTTGAGCACAGGGCAGAGGAGGGGGACAGGGGAGGGCACTGCGATCACCGGGAGAGGGAGGCAGGAACAGAGCAGCTGCTGCAGGAGAGGAAGGTGGGGTAGGGAGGAAAGAAACCATTCCACTGACCTGTTTCCTGTGGGGCAGCAGCAGGCAAAGGGGTCTGTGAGGATCAGCGGCGCTTCCTGCTCCCTCTTGCTCCTTTGGGATCCATGTCCTAAAGCGGCTCCTGGCAGGTCAGTGACATGAAGGAGAAAGTGCCCAGATCACCAGGAGCTCCCCATCAAGTGGTCTTTTTCTTTCTTGTGACAGACGACGCCTCGCTTCTTAAAATTTTTAGAAGTTTATTAAACTATAACAAGGGACAAGGTAAAAGGAACAGTGCTCGGTGCCCACTCGCAGCCAGAGGCACGGCCAGAGGCACACTGCCCAAAATCGTAAAAGGCTTTCTACCCGCTTGCTAAGCCACTCCCCTGGTAATCCATCCCCCACATGTTCCGCTTTTCCAACACAGCTCCTCCTCCGTCCCGCCCTCCCGGAGCTTGTGCAGCGCTTCGGGCTTGGACTCCCCGCAGTGGTCAGAGATCAGCATTACAGCTTTCAACA